GACCTACGAGCAAGTGTAGGTGTTTTAGAGGGCGCGACGGAGGCCGCGGATGATCGCTCAGCTGAAACGATGGTCACGGCGGACGACGCAGCAGCTTTTCTCGCCAGTATAGGCGACACGGGAGCGGCAGGCACGACAGAGGCTGCGGTGCTCAATGCAGAAGCTCTGCACGCAGGTACAGGCGACGCAGGAGCAGCGAGCGCGGCGGAGTCCTCGAGAGGGCTCGCAGTGTGATTGGCCTTGAAGGCCAAAAACTCCGAGGCGAGCTGTGGGTGGCGAAGTCGGAGGAATTCCGCGAATACAGCGTCCATGATCGCTGAGTACCCAGGTGGGGCGGCCCCGGGTCTTGAAAACACTCGCCTTGCGGCGAGGCCCCAACTTCTCGGACCTGAGCGGTTCTATTGAACACAGGTGGCAATGCGGCGCGATTACTACAGGACAAAGAAAAAGCACAACAAAACAGAAATTACGAAAAGAAACAAAACAAATAAATACTTGCAGGAAACCACTTTGTCGGCAGATGTACCACGAACACAGAAACAACAAAAGGAAACAAAACAAATAAAAACTTCCAGAAAGAGCACTTAGTCGGCAGATGTACCACAAACACAGGCCGCGCGAACAATGGCCGGGCTAACAAAAGCCGGGCGAACAAAGACCGGGCGATCGAGTGGACGATGAGCACGTCCGCACGTGACGGGTGCCTCTATCGGAATGTGAAACCTCAAGTCTAAAATAGCGCTCTCTTACGATTCCACAAGCACTTCACAAAACCATATCAACCAAAGCAATTTTCTAAAATACAACAATATAACGTAAACAAATTTCAATGAAATCTAACTTAAGCGAAAATTGAAAATCCACTTTTCGTGGTCGTTTCCTGAATAGCCCGTAGTAAAGCCCGATATAAAGTAACATGATATCGTTAGGTGCACCGCTCGCTCTGCGGATATGAAATTATTTTCTGAGAGCACCTTCCGTTCCAGTTCTAACCTCGACTACGCCATTAATGTTGGATTAAATAAGTTATACGAACTAGATAAGTTTTTATGCATCGCTAACGGTACGACGAGAGACCTATCAGATGGATTCGAAAATCAAATTCCTTTCAAAAAGCATGAGCATGTTTTAATTAAAACTACTTTTACGATTTAATATTGCGTTTTCTTTTAAATGACATTATATTATAACTAAACGTTTCGAATACTTTATGTTACATTCTTTACACTTTACTTTTGTATACTTTACAGTATTTTACAGAATTTTACGTGTTCACGGGCGACAGTCGGTGAATTATACTTACTAGTGGTCCCGCAGTAGTCGAAATTCGACTATAATTAATTGGAATTCTAAGTTTGTACACTATTATGATTGTATTTTATACTTCTATAATCTCAAATTAATTATTAATAAATATTAATAAACACAAACAATATTTAATCTATTCTCAATTTGACCACAGACGTCAAGAACAAAAGTTTGACAATAAATAGTATGCATGCGTGTGTGCGTCAAATACATGGTATGTAGTGTGTGTAATGTTTTCTTTATTGATTTAATGTGCCTTTTATGCTTTATTTAAAAAAAATATTAGCATTGTGCACTTCTTCTCTACATTCTCTATAAGTGTAGAAAATTTCATACTCCTCCGTCCGCGCAATTTTCGTAAAAAGGGATGCAAAGTTTTTGCTTCACGTATTAATATATAGATATACTACGACTCGCAAAAACCAAAAATAATATTTTAGTATGTTACAATAAAACTTTTTCAGAGAATTAAAAACTACCTTATACATTACAAAGTCATCCGTGCTACTAAATGTAAATTTGTTTTCAATACTACATATTTTGTGTTACTGTGACAAAACGTTTCTTCCCTCAAAATTTTTGTTAAAAATACAATATTATTAATTTAGGCTATTATGGGCCTAATGAAAAGAAACTGCGGCAGTTGCTATGAGTTATTTTTTTTTTACAAAAATTCGAGTCTCGCTAGGATAACTAGATTCCCCCCTGAAGTGACGTCACCCTTAACGTGAATTGTTTTATATATAGGAATGTTTTGGTTTTAGTGAAATTAAATAACACAACATAAATTTTTTAATGTAAAATTAACTTTAACATTTCTAAATAACAGATTCACTTATGTCTTTTGATCGCCTAATGATTCAAGTGGTTAGTGACCCGGATCACTATACTCCGAGATCCTAGTTTGATTTCCGGCCGGAGTCAAAGTAAGGTTTAACGTCTGGGTGGGTGCACCTGTTCCTTGTGTGTTCCCGGTACCCAAAACACAAGAGAAAACTAAGCTTGGTGCTAATGATAATGGAACGATTATTTATTTTACTTTTGGTCTTAGTGAGCTAGAACAATAGGTTTTTTTGCCTACCTAATCCATGATAGCCTAAGGAGTTATTCTATTAAGGTAGGTGAGCTAACGAGACTCAATCTGAGAGAGTTTGCTAACACTAGCCCTAGCAAAGGCGATGCTACCACTGGATCGGTATCGCGACCCACTGTAAAGATCCGGCGAGAACCTCAGTGGGTTGTATCTATGGGTTACATGGCACATCGGTACTTGAAGTGGCTAATGCTTTTAGTGGATCAAGAAGAGTAACTATATTACGTAAACAATAACAAAAACTAAGATTTAAGTTTCCTTTATTCACTTACCTCGTTAGCATCGTGATTATGTAGAACGCATTGGTCCAAGTAAGGACAATGACCTCCCTCGAATGATTCCACGTAGTGAGCATTGAATGGTATCTCCCAAAGTCCTGTTATTTTCAAAACAAAATTGCATCGATTTCAATAGATAGCTTTTATTTATAATTTATTACTGTCTATGAAATTTAGAAATTCACTGTTATTTATCGTTAATGTTGCGAGTGAATCTGAGCCATAATAATATGTTATATACATATATCCCCCATATATGAAAATATATTCTCCATTTATTGTACTGACTTGCAAGCCACCTGTCGTAGACCAACGCTTCTATGACAGAAGTTCTTTGTAAATTTCAACCCAATAAGATAGCCGACATACATAGATCACGAATAATCAAACGTACAAACTATACATTTCTAAACACTACATTAGGTGCATTCGCTGCCTTTTAATAAATTTTGATACATAAATGTGGATCCCAAAAAAGCGAAGCACTATAATTGCTGTCTTTTTATTTCCTAAATAGTGATGTGAAAATTAATTTTGAAAATTCCATCTCACCCGGGAACGATTTAGTGGGGCATGTTCCGGACTTGCACTCGTGGGCGATCTTGTAGTCGAGCGTGTAAGGCCACACCGGAATCGGCAAAGGAGGCACGCCCACTGAACTGTCGTAGATGTATCCGAAGTCTTCTAACACCTGTTTAGAGATTAAATGGGTGAGAATCTGTACGGGTGAGTGTTGAAACTACATGGTACCTAACAAAACGTACAAAATAAATGAAATTTAAAAACTAAAAGTAATGCTGAAAAATATTTACGTGTAGGTATTTTATAAACTCAACTTATATAAAATTATGAATAAAGTCTTTATATGATTATAATCAATTTACATAATATGTAGGTATACGTCTTTACGGTAATTAACGACCTGAAACATACATACATACTTTCGAAACATTATGTAATAATTTATTTTCTTGTTAAAATCTCCAAAGTCCTAATTAGTACTAAAATATGTATAACTCCCTAGCTGGTGAAAGCCTTACAATATTTAATATAAATATTCAGACCGAAGATAAGTTGAAAAAGAAATATTTATAAATTATAATACATTTATCTACGCTAAGACTCGGAATAAGTATGTCCTGTTGTGATCATATGAAAAAGTTTTTTTATTATATATCTCTTGCATCGTATCTCATCTCTAAAATATATAAATTTAATATTTAATGGTCTATTTATTCGATAGTGTTGGTCCAATGGAGTTCAAAGTTGTTGTATAGTTGTTGTTGACACTTTAGAGAAGTTTTCTGGTATTGTTCCAAGAAAAAGCTGTATCTATAGGTATATAAACAGGCAATACAGTTAAGTGCCATTTTCTCCTCCGCTCGTCAATCGATTTTTCTTTTTGTTTAGAGAGTTATCAATAAAAATTTTGGAAATCTTTTTTTTACATAGCCATCCATTGGATTTAAATAGCATTTGAAATATTTCGTATAAATGTTTAAATTGTTGAAACTTGACATAGTTGAAGGTTGGTAACGGGTTGGTTATGCCCCTAACAATACTGATGGTCACGAACGACGATGCCAACTCACCAGATGGGCCTTGAGGTCGTCGGCCCAATCAGTCATCCTTACATCGAGAAGGATAAATTATACCTTGTAACCGCTTTTTAGATCTTACAATTTTATTTTATACGCGCCGCAAAAACCGAAAATAGAACTGTATTTTTTTTGTTTTTTTCACGCCGTCAAGGGAAATGCATCAATTGTCAAACAATCGTACACGTACAACGCCGGGTAACAAACCATTGACGTAACAAAGCTCCTTTTTATTTATCTGCGGTAAGTTTATCTATTAGGTTTCGAAATTGTACACATATACATACAGTTTTATGTAAATTTAATAAGCTAATCAAAAAAATATGGATCTAGCAAAACCGTTAATTTATAATGAATAGTAATTAGTGATGATTTCGACCTTTATACTAGTAATATATAGCATTATGTCCGATTTATCATACAATGTTAGAATGTATTGTATGTATCAAACGAAGTCCAATCAATAACTATGTTAGGTCTATGGCAGCCCGTATTGATAGGAATCGATCAAACGTGGAAGTGGTTGAAATCGAATGATGGATTTATTTACGTACCTACGACGTTTACATTGCGCTCAATCGATTTTCTTATATTCGTTTTGGATTGAAAAATAAACTCGACTTCAATTTGGATTCATCTTAATTCGTTTCTCGTAACAGCAAATCGTTAAACATTTTTCTTTTTCATAATTACAACAAATAACTTACGTCGATCCCGCACGACACCTACGGAGGTAATTATCGGTGTACAAGCCAAAATTTGGTTGTCAAGACAATATATTAATCGACGTAAGGAATCGGAAATAATTTTCTTGTATACTTTGTCGATATAATTTGTTTCCACTTCAAAAGGAAAACGTGACTTTTCCACCAGCATAATATTTCGAATTAATTATGTGAATTCCCTTGAAATTGGAGCTCATTTCATATAAATATTGGTCGTGCTTCAAATCATTTAGTTTTTTTTTTGTTAAGATCTTCGCAGTGGGACTAATTAGATTTCATTTAAAATTAATTGAAGTATATTCTAGTAATTTTTGTTTATTTGAATCAACATTGACAACAAATAGACAAAAAGCCAATAAACTGCACCTAAGGCAGATAAGTACACCTGAAAACGAATCGTAATCTTTCCTATATAATTTTCCTAAAGTTTCGTATTTTTAAAATAACCGAACCGATAAAAATCTAAAATCTCTACAAACTCTAAATTTTTTAAGCAAGGTTGTTATTTCCATTTTAAAAAATACGAATACTAAATAGCCTTCATTTATATAACGTTGTTTTTAAAGAACTATGATTACTTATTTGTTTTTACAGCACTGTCTTCACTCTGCGGCGGGCTGTCTTCAGAACATTGGATAGTATGTTAATCTAGTGATAAGTTTACTGTAGACGTCAAATTCAAATAAAATAAAACCTAGTTCATAAGAAGTATTTTGATTACACCGATTTCTCTAATTTAAGGATTTGGCAGTCATTACACGCATTCACGTTTTGATAATAATTATCAACGGTATCCATTTAAAACTGTGGGGACCGTGAACGAGTCTGCTCGTCTACAAGGGCATATATACATCGTATAATTTAAGCTTACTTTGAACTGCGTATTCCTGCCAGGCTTCAGAAACGGTGCTCGGGCTCCCACGATCTCCGACCGCGATATGTTCGCAAACTTCTTAAGGATCTCTCGCATGCCGATCATCTCACCGGCCCATTCCTCGTACCCTTTGTCTTGCAAGCCTTGCTGTTGCGAAACTGTACCTGTTGCTATCTGAAAAATGTTTAAACAATTTTATAAGCTTGTTTTTTAAAATTATCAAAAACGTTTTATATAAAACATCGTTCATACGAAAATAAACGGCCATTAAGCCACAATGCGATCCGCATTTTTGAGTCCAACTAATTATCGCAGTCACAGTTAATTTCACTAATTCATTGCCGGCAAACAGGTAAACCACAATATTGTCGTTAGCGCGTATTTACAGTGAAATATCAAAATGATCACCAAACACATAATTACAGCCATCAAACAATTGCCTCTCTTGTTTACTAAAACATAATTGGAATGGCAGATAGATAAGAACCTTACTAATTCTTACTAATTTCTACGATTCAGAATGCTATTCCTGTTGTTTTTTAAATCAACTAAAAAATCTCGATTTTTAAACAATTTCGAGTTGTCATAAAAGGGTGCAATTAAGTTTACATTGATAAATTTCGCGATTCATGTTAAAGCTCTTCTAGTAAATTGTTATACCTAAGAAATAAAATAATTATATTAAAATTGACCTTTAAAACGAATTAAAACAACTATCAATTACCCCTTGGTAAATTTTGTGAAAGTATTTTTATTAATTGAGGCATTTGTTTTATACAGTAGTCATTGAATTAAGGCTTTTTTTTGCATAGACATGCGAACGATCTGACGGCTCCCCCTAGTGCTAAGTTGTTACCGAAGCACGTAGACATCACAAGGTGAAAGCTGCAATCCACCCAAGCACAAATAGGCAGGACGGTGATACGTACTCATCTGGGCTCATAGGACGCCCTCTCTCCTCAATAAAATCACAAACTCTTGAGTGGTCAGTCAGGTTACTCAGATACCCTAAAATAGACTAACCTCTTTTCCGCCATAAAAATTATACCTTTTAAATTTAACAATTTAATGCATAATAAATTACAGGCTAACTGTAAAAGTAATGTTCTTAAAACAATCATACCTCATGTCCATCGTGTGCGAGAGCTTGTACCATCACGTAGTTACTGGAAATAATAATTAAGATTTACTATATAAGTGATCCCAAATTAATATGGAATACCCCACAACGAATGAACAATAAAAGACCTAATTGCGTGTTCTGTACCTAGTATAATAAGAAAACAACATTTAAAGCCCTTAATCTTTTTTTAAATTAATATTCTAAACAGTCTTATTTTAATACGCAAAACTGAACTATACTCTCTTCACTGAATGACAGACAGGAGAGGGAGTCTGTTTAAGAAAAATCTTTTTTTAAAACAAAAGAGTTTTAAAGGTTTTAAATGATAAAGGTTTTCTTTACAAGCACACTAATTAATTTATTATTATAGTTACAAAGCAAAATACACAATAGAATTTACGAAACATACAGAGAAAAATACGGTCTAGGTTCACGTAGAAGCTCACCTAAATAATGTTTCTAATGTAACGATAATTTATTATTTATAATGTTCACTGAACTCGTTATGTAATGTATTCCAGGATTAACTCAGTCTACTGATTATACAAAATACACAAATACAAACTAATCTCAATAATAGCTTAACCGATCTGTGGTTATCAGTAAGGTTTTAAGATAAGTTTGGATCAACATTGAGTGTTCGATCAATTCAAATTAGTTGAGAAAATAAAGCACGTAGTTTGATTTATATAAATGCTAATATATACCTGTATTCATGAGACAAGAAGAATGTCCCCTTTATAGGACATCCGTTTGGATTGTTAATCTTTCCTTTGAAGACTTTCTTGTACTTGTCGAAGTTGTTCAAATTTACGGCTCCATCGAAAGTCAACATTATCATTTGAGGTGTCTGAAGAGATTAGTATAGTGTTCATTGAATTATCAATTTCAAACAGAGAAAGAAAAGCAATTAGTCAAAAGGCAGGTATAATTATATTATACACCGGATCTCCGCCGGACAACCATTTTTTTATTACGGTGTACTACTATTAATAATATTCCGAGTGATCAATCAAAATTATCGTTAAAAGATTAAGTGTGTAAAGATCAAACAGAGCAATGTTCTACATTAATTTTCATTGATAAACTTACTTCTGCAGGGTCGAGGCCGCCAGGAATCAATGTACCATCTTTGGAACAGAAGCAGTACGGTAATTGGCATTCCGCAGGCTCGCACTTTGTAGCTAAATCGAGCGGTACTTCTGTTATAGGCGCCGGTGCTGTTGGAGAGATTGAATTCATTGTTTAGATACTTAATTTGTACCGATCGTGGGATGATTACTAAGATATCCGATATAGGAATATAATATAAATGCAATCAAAACTACATTGATATGTGTTAGCAAATTATAATAATGCGTAAGAAATACAGTGAAAGTAAATAATTAAAATATGTATTAATGTTGAAAATATAATGTGTTATCATATGATAATGGTTTTCAATTCGCTTAAATAATATTAGGCAGGCATCGCTTTAACTTTGACAATGTAAGTCCACTATTATAAACAATGGACTATGAATACTCGTTTCGTAACAAGGTATAATAAAATATATAAGAAATTGAGAATGTTAGAAAAATTAAATACATAATTTAAAATATTACAACTAATGTTTCTTATAATGTTTTGATGAATATTTTTAATACAGCCCTCGAGCAGATCGAGGGCGTACATTTAATTCTGTTGTAAATTTACAGAAAGAGGGATTTTTTTTTTGAAAAATTACTATGATAAATAGTTACTAAAATAAATTCAATGCCTAATGGAAAATTTACATCTCGTTATTTCTTTTGTGAAAAGTAGTTTTGGGAGATTCTTTAACTTAATTACCGAATATAAATCATTGTATTTTACTAAGAGTTACCGAATTAATTTTAATATTTGCTATCTCACAAGTACATTTTAACCTAACCTAACCTAACAAGTAAGTGAGCTCACAGGGCTCAAACCTGTCGAAGTTGCTATCACTAACCCTAGCAAGAGCAGTGCTTCGCAGAATCCACCACCGGATCGGAAACGCGATCCACTGAGAAGATCCAGCGAGAAACGCAATGGGCTGTGACTGTGAATTAATTTACTCGCCGAGCCCTTCATCGCAAGCGACGGGTTCGATGAGAACGACGATCGGGTTTTACCATAATATTACCCCTTTCTTACAAACTAGATCGACTAACTACTTCACGTCGGCTATAGCCTAATCAGCGATACTCACGCGGCCTCTGGGCTTGCTGGGCCTAGGATCGTAGATTCGATTCCCATATAGAGCAAATGTTCGTGTGACGAAAAGGATTATTTGCTCTTTGTCTCAGTGTATCCATATATGTACAAATATACATAAACGTATAAAAGGACCTACATATATCAGTCTCTTGTTCCCATAGTACCGGGAATCCTAGTTTGGGTGTAGATGACCATATGCCTTGTCCCCAACTATTAATTTCTTATATAGTATACTTGAGACCTTAGCACTTATATCTCAAGGTGGGTGGCGCATTTACGTTGTAGATGTCTATGGGCTCCAGTAACTACTTAACACCAGGTGGGCTGTGAGCTCGTCCACCCATCTAAGCAAAAAAAAAAATACTGCACATCAGCTAACTATAAATTTATTTCTTCAAAGACTTATTAATAGTGTGCGATGCTTTCCTGCTCATAAAGTAGTAAGCTTGTGGTGTTTTTTTTTTCAACAAAAAATATAACACTTACTAGTTGGTATGGGTCCACACCTCGCTTCTGCTTTGAAGGTGCAGTATTTGCTGATGTCATCAAAATATAATCCTGAAGGACATCTGTTTAAATACGGGTACCCGTCGACACACTGCAATCAAAGAATAAAAATGTCAAAAACAACCTAAAATTTATTGTCTTTCTTAATCTTCTTCTAATATATAAAATTCTCGTGTCACAGTTTTCGTTGCCATACTCCTCCGAAACGGCTTGACCGATTTTGATGAAATTTTTTGTGCTTATCCGGTATCTATGAGAATCGGCCAACATCTATTTTTCATCCCCCTAAATGTTAGGGGTAGTCCACCCCTAAATTTTTTTTTTATTTTTTAGACAAAATTTTTAATTTCTATTTTTTTATGATACAACATACAAAAATACATACAATCCTCAATTTTCACCCTTCTACGATCAACACTTATTTTTATTTGCTAATTAAAAACTAAATTTTTTTGCAAGAATTTTGTTTTTATTTTGTCATGACTTAGAATAAAAAAAATTATAGTACTCTGAAATTTTCACCCCTCTACGTTCAACCCCTATTTTTTATTTGTTAATTATAAATTTTACATTTTTTTGGCAAGATTTTATTTTTTATTTTGTCATGACTTAAAATAAAAATAAAATATATTACTCTCAATTTTCACTCTTATACGATCAACCCCTATTTTTCCATCCCGATTTTTATTTTTTTTATTCTATGCACAGATCCGCAATAAGGTTGCAAGATGGCAATCAAATATTATAATTGTAGTACGATAAATTCTTATTCTGAGTATAATTTCAAGTTCCTTTAATTATGATTTTTTTTTAAATTCAATCGATCAGTTATCCCCGCCAGGTGTCGCCTCTCATCCAGCAAACATCACGTAGTAGGGATGAGGACGAAGCCGGTCTCCTGTCTTACTCACTATACATTTTTCAGCCATGTTTCTTTGGTTTTATTTGTGTATCAATCGTAGCTTGCCAGCCATGTTTTTTTGGNACGGGAGTTATCTAAACGTCGTTTATTAATAAGGCCCTAATGTGTATTCAAACACATGAATTGCATCAACAACTTATATGTATACATATCTTTAAAAAATACTGTTTCATTAAAAAAAAAATAACCTTCAATTTCATATACAGTCGTGAGTTCTGGAATATACTCGCGTATTAGTAAGGACTTAGGCCGACCGTTTTTATTTTTGAATGCGCACAATTTCACAGACGTAACATAAACTCAGCTGTAATCCCACGGGAAGCAGTCACGCGGGGCTTACATTATTACATATCTACGTAAAAAATACCTACATTTTTTATGCGTAAATGTTCGCCGCTTGTTAGAAACAGTGTCCTACTTTTGCGAGAGAATAAACTGAAATTAACAACGAGTTTTGCGTATAATTTAATATATTTTTCGACTACGCAATTTCGATATTGATAATATAATCAATCTAGGAATAGTACACGGTATTTTCTTTTTTGCTTATATTTTTACTGCCGATATAAAAGATAAAACGTACTATAACAAATTCCTAATCTACACCATATTATAATGCATTAAATAATAACGTAGGTAATTATTGATTTGCCTCATTAAAATCAAGAAGAATATTAATAGTCTTTGTACTTCAACATAAGAACACATTCACTGCCTGATGCGTACCTATTAACGTTGTTAATATCATTAGTGGCACTTGTTTTTCAAGCAATCGCTTGCGAATACAAATTAATAAAAATAAAAACTAGTAATCGTACTGCTATGAACACTGTAAGACAGAAGTTCACCACGCAATATAAACAAGGTCTTGGGAAACCTATCCCGAAACCGAAGACTCGTGGTGGCTCTGAAGTATTGATGACATTGAGAAATATATTTTTTATTACACTAAGATACTGTACGCGATTAAACTCAAATTAACAACTCAGCAACGCACAATGAATGTTCACGGACACTCTCAGCAAAGGGCGTCCACTCGTTGTCTAATGTTTACAAAGCAGATTCACAACATATGAAATAAATAAAGGACAAATATTTATCATAACTAGAGGTCCCGCAGTAGTCGAAATTCGACTATAATTAATTGGAATTGTAAGTTTGTACACTATTATGATTGTATTTTATACTTCTATAATCACAAATTTCGCCAAGGCTACACTATAAAAAAATATTAATAAAGACAAACAATATTTAATCTATTCTCAATTTGATCACTGACGTCAAGAACAAAAGTTTGACAATAAATAGTATGCATGCGTGTGTGCGTCAAATACATGGTATGTAGTGTGTGTAATGTTTTCTTTATTGATTTAACGTATCTTTAATGCATTATTTAAAAAAAAATATTAGCATTGTGCACTTCTTCTCTATATTCTCTATAAGTGTGGAAAATTTCATACTCCTCCGTCTACGCAATTTTCGTAAAAAGGGATACAAAGTTTTTGCTTCACGTATTAATATATAGATAATATCTTAGTATAATATGATTTTTTTTTATTACTTAGATGGATGGACGAGCTCACAGTCCACCTGGTGTTAGTGGTCACTGGAGCCCATAGACATCTTCAAAGAAAATGCGCCATCCACCTTGGGATATAGTTCTAAGGTCTCAGCTAATACAACGGCTACCCCACCCCTCAAACCGAAACGCATCGCTGCTTCACGGCAGAAATAGGCGAGGTGGTGGTACCTACACGTGCGAACTCACAAGAGGTCCTACCACCAGTAAAAATGAAATATGAACATAATATATACAAACAAAAAAACTGACTGCAACTATTTAAAATAAGAATATCGTCAATCTAGTCGAAGTTAATTAAAAATGCATTATTACGCGAGTCTTGTGCTCGTTCTACTTAATATATTTATAAATAAATAAAAACGTATATCAGTAAACCTAATCACGTATCCCACATATTGCTTAAAACATAAATTCTTAAACACATTAATAAAGCTATAGTTTTTAAAAACGCACATAACATAGTATTCGAAAAATATATTTATTTTACAAACACACTACGCAGTGGTAAAGGCATTAACATTAAACAGACATTGATAATAAGGACACGTTTGTGTGAATAACAAAAAGCTTAATAAATTCGATCACATCCTCGTTGACTAAATACCTGTTACTCGAGTAATAAGGTCGAATTCTTTTGGTGAATAATACAGAAGTACGTATTCGTTGTGTGATTATCAACATTTAGTCTCAAAAGATACTAAAATATTTAACTATGGAGTCATGTATTTTGATTTATGAGATGATATCTAGCGTACAACTAATCGACTTAATTGAAAAAGATCAACGGCAAAATCCAGCCTCGGGATCCATGAAGAATTTTTAAATCTTGAACAAGAACATATCACAGTGTACACGTGCATGATAATAACTGAAAGGGCGTTAGTATGTCGTATGTAATGTCGAGTGTTAGTATGCCGTCAGCTCCGATAGTCATCGCTGCTATGGTTAGATGATACAAAAATCAACGAGATCTCAAATATTTATCTAGAATACCCTATGGTTAATGCGGTACAACATACAGACAAAAAAAACCTTTACCAGTAGCTCCATTCCAGTGAAGTTCCATTGAACGCTCAACAGTCTAACATGTTTTTTTTTTAATACCTAGAATGCATAATGAAATATTTGGACACGACGAAATCGGAATTTAAAAGTCATAGTGACCTAGCAATTGAACTTTTATTAATGGTGTATTTATTTCCACAGCAATAGAAAAGAACAAAAAAAAAACAAACATAAAGTCTAATGTACAAAAATGCATTTTGCGTCTTTATTGGTTCGTGCCCTGTGCTGTCGCGCATCGTTTATATTGTTACGCCGGTAAGAGTACGCCATATAGATGGCGTTACTCTTACCGGCGTAACAGCGATAGCGCCGAAAGTCTAACGAATATCGAAGGGTAAAGTAGCACCTAGAACGCTCGAGAAGTACAACGCCATCTATTGTCAGATAGCGGAAACATAATACTCGAAATGTATGGAATATTCTCGATAATTCTAGGGATGTGGTATCGGCTCTAAAAGCGTTACAGAGATAGCACGCAGTTAGTCAGTAATCGGAACTACTCGAAGCGAAACAAACGAAACCTGAAGCGAAGCGGAAGAAGCGAATTGAGAATTTTAAAGTGTTTGTGAAGTGTTTTAAGTGTTGAATACAGTTTTGAGTTATACTTCGGTGGAATTTTATTTATTCCGAACCCCAGCGCGTAACAATATTATGAAGTTGAAGTTTTGGACACTTCTGCTCTTGGTTACATGGTAAAGGCTTCCGGAATAATACCATCAACGAACAAAAGGTGGCACGTGACCAATAAAAAAACCTACGCATTTCGCTTCGTATTTCTCGATAGCAAATAAAGCACAAGCAGGTATCACTTGTTTAAATTAAATCAAGTTATATTGGTTTCATACCAGTCTATCCTTGAAAATGTCAATATTTGTGCCAGGCAACAACTACTACAAACATTTATGTCTACTGAGTACTGACCGACCAGTGATGACGGTATTATTTAAATTTTGGAATGTAATAATTATACTATACAAATAAATTTATTCAACATTATGCATTTATATATATTCATCTGTATGCACAAATAGTACAGCGGTGAATCAAAGATGGTGTAGACAGTACACTGAGATGTGCTTTGCTTTATTGTTACTTATTAAAGAGGAAATAAGAACAAATAAAAACTATATACCTACTCAAAATGTATACTATAATCGACATAAATATACATATATCTATTATAAAATACATATATAAGACAAAACAAAAACTACAGTACCTACATTTCACAGAATATATTTACACAATGAACAAATACTTCGTTGAAAAAAAAAAGACAATTAATTAAAGCAGTTCAGGAACTGAACTAAACGAGTGCAAAATTGATAGTCATATTAGCATTACACTTATACAGTTTTTAATTTATTAGCCGGCTGTCTGACAAGCTGCTTATGAGAAGGGGTGACCCACAGCCGAGTCACTCGAGCTATGCTTGATACTTCTTCAACAACTGTTTGTTTCTTTCAATAACTAAAACTCTCTAAGTCAACATGACCTACCTATTTCTATCGGGAGCAATCCTACTATCCCGTTCGACTGGTAGTAGAACTATTATTCTAATGCAATTGATAATTCAAGAACATATTTCTGGTGGTGTGACCTCTTGTGAGTCCGCGTGGGTGGGTACCACCACCCTGCCTATTTCTGCCGTGAAGCAGTAATGCGTTTCGGTTTGAAGGGTGGGGCAGCCGTTGTAACTATACTTGAGACCTTAGAACTTATATCTCAAGGTGGGTGGCGCATTTCCGTTGTGGATGTCTATGGGCTCCAGTAACCACTTAACACCAGATGGGCTGTGAGATCGTCCACCCAACTAAGCAAAAAAAAAAGATTAGAAGTATCCCATCATCACGGTGAAATCTTTAACAAAGCGCCGCGTCGTGCTAAACGTCTTACGTCAATATTCAATTGGGAATATTTTCCAAAATTTATTATTCGATGTTCCGATACATGATTTATAATACAAGATGACGAGGTCGACCACCCAGAGCGTGTATTGCCGACGCAAGATGAAATCGATGAGTATGTCCAAGGATAAACCTAAACAAAAAACTTGTTTCACATCAATTTAAATGACAAGACAATATGCGTAATACCCTATTATCCAATAACATAATAATATAAAGGCTCGTTCAAGAGATTCGAGCGATAGCTCGGAAATAATAATAAGTAAGATATAAATTAGATTTCTGTGATTGGTAGTGTTCTCGAAAATGAACACGAATTGTAAGGCCTTTTTTGCTTGATGCAATACCTAACAGAATAATTATCTTTTACCAGTGCTTTACACAGTGCACGCAATTTAACACAAGTATTCTTTAATCTTTGACGCGCGGCATCAGCCACTTCGTGGGAACGCAGGGGCCATTCTCAAACCTTCAATAAGATTTTATAAGCACAACTTACTCAAACAACCAGTATTTATCAATAACAATATAAAATGATTTGTTTGTGTGGGTAGATTGATATCTTGCTTATTTCTGTCACAGGACATTTGAAGGGTGGGACAACCGTTATACAACACAATTAAAAATTTGGCCTCATGTCTCAATGTTGATGGTGGTATTCCTATTGTCTAGTGGTTCCCGTAATTACTTAATACAAGGTAAGCCCTAAACTAGTTCAATTATTCGAACATCTTTGATTCCATTTCCAAGTGCATTGATTTCGCACAAAAACATTCATAAAATGTCAGAAAATAAGAAGATTAAACGTAGCTTGCATCGTTCAATCCTTTTAATACTAAATAAACACGTTAAATAAGGAAAATAAAGAAGCTTTACAAGTAAATATCTAAATTGCGAATCTTACTTGATAAAAACGTCTGCAGGTGGCTGGGTCGGCGAAATTCCCATTACCCTGTGTTCCTTCGGGACAAACAAACTGCTCTTCCTCCTTATCTTTCTGTTGATGTGTACCTGGAAACGAAATTGAAGCGAACTTCGATGAATTCAAATAAATAAGAAACCACGAACCTNATAAAGAAGCTTTACAAGTAAATATCTAAATTGCGAATCTTACTTGATAAAAACGTCTGCAGGTGGCTGGGTCGGCGAAATTCCCATTACCCTGTGTTCCTTCGGGACAAACAAACTGCTCTTCCTCCTTATCTTTCTGTTGATGTGTACCTGGAAACGAAATTGAAGCGAACTTCGATGAATTCAAATAAATAAGAAACCACGAACCTGAGAGCCAATTTACGATGCTTCTAAAAATAATTCAACGTGAAATTTAAATGCTCTGTGACCAGGAAACTGCTCGAGAATTTAGTCGGTAAATCTTTGTTCAAACATATTATTTATTTTTAGTGCATTCTCACAATATGTCACTTAACGAACTTGGTTATATAAAATATCAGGGTAATATTTTGACACACCTAAATAACCGGTGATATTAAACGAATGCGTAATATCTTCACAAAAACTCCGTAATAAATTTAAGCGTTAAAATTCCAAGTCCAATGGCTACATTTTGACCAACTGGACCCCGTCGAATATTTTTTAACTCTTTTACCCCCAATTATGTAATAAAATAAAAAGGCGAACAAAATTAAGTAGGCACGGGTTTTTTTACGTTTTCTCAATAATAAAAGTTCCGCAGAGATCATCCTCGAAGCCGGAAACTATCTTAAAGACTTAATTACTCAATTGATTAACCAAATGTTTGCCTTTTTTTAGTCTTCTCGAGACGGTAAACGTCGCGCCTGTATATACTGTACTATATTGTACTATGACGTCAACGTTGAAGAACAGAATACAAATTTTGTAATCAACAACTTTAAGGATATCAGAACATTATTAATCGATATTAATTATTTCTTAAAATAATTTTTACGTTTTTTTTTTCTATATTCCTCCCCAAGAATACCTACCTAATATTCTATTATGCAATAATGTGCCCTATTAACTCAAACACTTAAAACATATAATATTTTATTTAATTAAAACAGCTTGGTTTTCATTTCCGGTAACATTACGCCATTAAACTACTGGACAGCAAAAAGTAAAACGTTCACGGATGTATGATAGATAATATTGTCTACAAGCAATTGTAGTCGCACTAATACAATCCAAACGTTTCAACATTCATTAACACCTATTGTTTCATCAAGAAAAGAGAAAGCCGCTTACATAATAAAATATATGCATGGCTTAAATATAATTTGCCTCGGTATGCTTAGATATATTTCGCAAAATAAAAAACTATATACATAATTTTTACAAACGGATTACGTTCGACTATGTTCCGCACTTATAAATGTTCCGAGCATTTTCGTATTTTGTACCCTTTAAGCACAATAAATACCTCAGCTATTTTTATTATTTTAATCTAAATTATTAAGATTTCTAAGTTTTAAATGTTTTCTAATTTTAAAATTTTGAAGAAATCCTTTCTGGTAGGTACTAAAATAGATATTGAGCATTATAGGTAGATAGTATCGTGATGTATCTGTCCATCCGAATACATTGATTGCGTGCTAAATAAATAATTAAGAATGTCTGGCGTCAGTGCAAGTAGGTCTGCTGGCCTCGTACTAAAAAATCTTTAGTGACTTACTATGCGGCAACTTACAAAATCGTTTTTAAATGTCGATATTACTTACGAACACGAATCATTTCTGCGAATCAAAGAGTGTGTCTAACTTTAGTCTATGTACCGAGCAAAATGCAGTTTTTAGACGTAGCTGCGGACGAGTTGTTGTTGAATAATATTTTGCATTAAGTCTAAAAATTAATTTCTCACTACTAAAATTACTTTATTATTCTTTTTTTAATTGAAACACAAAATATAGCTTAGGTTATCATACAAAAAAAAAAACAAGTTTTGACTGCCAAAAAGTTTTGTATCGTTGGTTAAATATTTATTTAAAAAAATTGATGGCCTAAATCAATCGAACGCTCACAGAAAGAAGTGAAAAAAATATCCCTAATCCTAATTCGATAAATTTTACGCTTTCGAACTTTTGTACAGATTAATTAGTATCTGTTTCTAAATAGTCTCTTACAACATTAGATATAAAAAAAAGATTTAGAACTCATGACATAATAATTTTAAGTTGCACAATAAATAAAAATCCTAGAAAATATACATACAGCTAATATAAAATAGCTTTCACCGTATAGTTTTGCCGTAAGAGTTACGTCGCTAGTTAAATTGATGAGAGTTTTGCTTGCATAAGATGACAGGGTCGATTTTTACGAGAACCTAAATATTTGTGCAGAACAAAAAGTCGTATGTTCACTTACACACATCGAAATAACAAAAATATATTTAACTAACCGTTGATTAAAAGCACACAAACAAGGAGTACTCGCAAACTGGTCATAGTTCTTGATCGCGCTACGTACGCGCGAGTCGACATGGTCCCTTTCACCGTCGCGTGGGCACTGAGGAGTGCGAGGTGCAACGCTGCCTGCCATCCACCAGCCGACCTCCGCAGACAGCTTTCTCCTTAGACCCCTTAACACTCGTCACTCAACAAATAAAAACACTACCGCATGTACGTCACGGAAACACTAACTGCCACGTATACCTACATCTTGTGAAGGAACCACACTATTCATTGATTTATTTCGTTTTAGTAACTTTATATTTGTAAATTATATCGAAAGTGTAAGGTTTCGCAGTTAACGCACGCATTTCTAACAGCTACGTACATTTTTAATTTTTTATTTGATGAAGGAATGATTACTCGTATCCCGCAGGTCTTCCCAGTTTTAGCAGGACAGTTGGGCGAGCAAAGGCTCAGCCAGGAGCGGTGGGATTTGCTACCATCTGCCCGAGCGCACGAGCGCCCGAGCGACAAGGAAGACCTAACAACTTAAGAGCAGCTGCTTTGCAAATAAATCTACTACCGGATCGGAATCGTGACCCGCTGAAAAGATCCAGCGAGAAACTCAGCGGGCTGATGCGTGGGTTAGGTTGTAACTCGGCAAAGAATTCGGGGTCCCTAAACTTGCTCTTTGTCTTAGAGCTGAAGACATCTAGTGCTGAGGATAACGAATTTGTTGGATCCGTAATGACCTGTCCAGGGCGTCAACGTAGACTGGCTCCTTCGTAAGTAGGGTATGGGTAGTAATCAGCGGCGGCAACGATAAGGCGATTATCATAACGCATAGCCTTATCGAAGTACCTAAGCTACGCATATTCGTGGGTAGTTTTCTACTGAGACGGTAGAACAACTGTTATTCAATACAATTGAGACGTCGACCTCAAGTCGCAGGGACCTTCACCTTGTTATGGCTCCAGTAGCCACTTAGCACAAGGTGGACTGTTGGCTGAAACATAGTTTTGTGTACAAATGATTTCTAGCATAAAAATGTCCACATTAATTTTCTTAAGTTTTCGTAAGTTGTTGACATAATTTAAACTACTTTACAGTTTAATTTCCCTTTTTTTATTGTTACAAACGTCAGTCATCCGTGACCACTAAAACCGTAAAAGTAAAATAGAAACGTCGAAAATGATATAATGATAATAAAAAGTGCGAGCAAATTAAATCCTAAATGTAGTTTTAATAATGTCCGTATTCACTTATTCTGTAAACCATCCGCTTAGTTTCAGTAGTAATTATTTCAATTATAGGTAGATTAGCTATACGATTGCAAACCAAAAGTCAACGTTTATATTATTTTCAATCATATGAATAAACACTTCGCCGTCCAACGTCTGCGCTTCAGGGCAATCACTTCCGTTGTTTAATTTTCATCCTCTCACTTCTAGACATACACTACGCACAAGGCTGTTTTATTTCTATTCATATGTTTCTTTTTATTAACTTACGCTAGCAATATTAGCAGATGTTATGTTGTTTTATGCTATGTTATGTATAGATACAAACGTTTGTTAGCAGATAAGCATTCTCCTACAAGGCAAGCATCGCCCATTTGATTTTATAATAATAAATAATAATAAAAAATTTATAAATAATAAATAAATAAATAAATATAAATACGAAGCTAACAGGAGTTTCAATTTTCCAACAGTTTTCAAAGGATGACCTTTCAGCGGGATAGCAAGTGCACATATATACATTGTCCGGACTATCGTACAGTTAACTCAAAGCCGAATACATTTTTAATCAAAGAACACAATTCTAACAAATGTGGATTACTACTCTAATAGTAGGTATCTTAAATCTGTGGTATGTGAATAAAACATATGAGGGTTCCTACGTCGATATAATATATATTTTTGAAAGCTAAAATGACGCTACGAAATCTAAGTAATTAGCATAGCATCAGAATTAACATCAAAATGAATGTGATGGTGGAACAGGGATGACGATCAGGACCTATGTATATTTATTTTCATTTCACTACGTAATATATAAAAATGTAACGAATTTCCAAAACCACTCAGCCACAACCTGTCTTATGTTCCTTGTACTAAGTACTTCAAAACATTCCATAAAATATCAAAAATAACTAGACCTAATAGAACGCGTTGTAGTAATTCTGTAATTACTTAAACAATTGGTACCTTTATCTGTACAAAATTTTAACTCAAATGAAATTGGGAAATCAGTATTAATATTTTATTATCATTTCCTGTCACGAAAATCACGTCCTTAGATATTTATGAACGATTATTCGACGGAACAGCACATTGGCAATGCTTCCATAAATTTTGAATACATATTGTTATGATTTATTGCATCAATAAAAGACGAAAAAAAATTGGGATTCATATAAATCGAAAATCGATAAACTACTAATAAACAAAGTAGCGAAAATATGTAGTTCCAATTTTTTTTTTATTAGTAACTACCCTAAAGGTATGAAATGCCTAAATTCCGAACGGATGTGCGACGTGTAAACTGAAATGTCATTGTGACATGTGTCAAAGTAACATGTTGATTGTAATTGTAGGTTTTCAGCTACGTGAATAATTGATTATTTTCAGAATCTAAAATAAAAAAATACTAATTTATGAAACAAAATTCATATGTAAAAAATAAGAAATGTCTACGCTAAGAGAACGCCAACTTAGTACGAACTGAGAATTCTTAAGTAGTGTCGTTTTAAAAAATAATTATGTACAATTTCATTTTGTTTATATATTTTCACAGATGCCTTGAAACAGATGCTTAATTTAAATCAGCCGCTTACAAAGAATATAGCCAATGAACCGACGTGGAAAATCTTAATATATGATAGAGTTGGACAAGATATTATCTCACCATTGGTATCTGTAAAAGATTTGCGTGAACTAGGAGTGACTCTTCATTTGTAAGTATTTGAAATCAATGGTTAGCTGTTCCTCTAGCATTATTTCTGCATTTCTCAGTAATTCAGTCCCAAAACCGCCTCTTTAATATTTCAAGCAACAATGTTTTAAAACTAAAATGCTTTTTACTGGCAGTGAGCTATACCAAAGCCCAAATTGTAATAAACTAAGGACGCCAATCAAAAACATATGATATTGTAATATAAACATAAATGTTTGCCAATTTTGTATGTTTGTATATAAAATCTATATTGTAATGGTAGCCAACAGATCATCCCTATGATTCCTTAAGACTAGATCCTGTAGTTCAGCTGATTATAATTAATTGTGTTGGATTATTTTCAAACCCAGAAGACATTAGTAAAACATAATATAAATGTTTTTGTATTAAATATCATAAGCTCTGCTTTTGTTTTAGTTTGTAAAAGAATTTCTAAATTCAGAAGAAATATAATAAATTATTGCGAGACTGTACTGGTTAAAAGTACTTTTAAGCTGTTGACTCTATATTACTTGATATTTCTTCTCCCTTAAGAATATTTTTAAATGTAAACTATATATTTCCAGACAACTACATTCAGATCGAGATTCGATACCAGAAGTACCTGCTGTTTATTTCTGTTCTCCTTCTGATGAAAATCTGGATCGCATTTGCCAAGATCTCGATAATGGGATCTATGATCAATACCATTTAAACTTTATATCACCAATCACAAGACACAAACTTGAAGACTTAGCTGCATCAGCTATCCAGTCAAATTCTGCTGTCAATATACATAAAGTTTTCGATCAGTATTTGAACTTTATTTGTTTGGAANCTGTTTATTTCTGTTCTCCTTCTGATGAAAATCTGGATCGCATTTGCCAAGATCTCGATAATGGGATCTATGATCAATACCATTTAAACTTTATATCACCAATCACAAGACACAAACTTGAAGACTTAGCTGCATCAGCTATCCAGTCAAATTCTGCTGTCAATATACATAAAGTTTTCGATCAGTATTTGAACTTTATTTGTTTGGAAGATGATCTTTTTATAATGAAGCACCAGCAATCTGATTCATTGTCATATTATGGTAAGATTGTTCACAATATTATTTATACTTTCTGTGTAGGCTACTCACAGTATGGGGTAAATTATTAGTGATGTTGTAAATTCACTTAAATGTAAATAGACATGCTTTAACAAAAACCGCCTTTCAATAGACAAAAGAATATATTCCAAAACAAATTAATATACACTAAAAACAATAATCATCGAAATCAGTTGGTGTGATATTGAGTTATTAAGTTATTCATCTATTTGTCGCGCACATACTTAATGCAAATTTAAGACTGATATGGTTTTCTCCTGGATACCATTATTAGAACTGGACTAAATTGAAATGGGAACACATGGGAAGAGTCAGCTTTTTAATAAAAAAAGAATCATCAAAATCAATCACCCAGTCCAACGCTAAGAGGTAACAAACATTAAAAAAAATACAGTCGAATTGAGAACCTCCTTTTGAAGTCAGTTAAAAAGACAAATAAAATGAAAAATAGGGAATGGCTCTGTCCCGTCATGTTGACAATACTGTGCATGTTATACAAGAAACTTTTCTCTTCTCTACAAATTTTTCTTTAACGTCATTAAAATCAATTCTTTGTGCAGCATACCTAATGCACAGTACTATGCATCATAACTAACCAGACTCTGTACAAATATCATTCACGAAAACACTATAAAGTCCATCTAAACATTATAAAGCAAAAGGTAAAAGCGGGGTATATGTTCCGTAAACATGCCTCAATAAAGAAACCGTGAATATGGAATGATAAATAACTTACATATTTGGGATTACAGAAAATACCTATTGAATGACAAGGTTGATTTCATTCTGTTTCCTTACATTCTTAAAAACGTCGACCGCGGCGAAAGCGGCTTTAGTCAAAGGCGGAACCAATACAGCGACGATATCATTTAATTTTATTATCATACTTTCAGTAGAGGTGTAATAAGGTCTATTTTACTTTAGCCCATTTAACGACGCGCTTACAAAGTATATTCGTTTCGATACCTTCATAATGGAATCCTTTTTATCAATGTGTATGTACCGATGCACTGATTAGACCCGCGAATAGTGAAAACGTGAATGAGGCAAACACTGTACTGTAAATTAATTATGATCAATAATAGTGTGGCAGGCAGCCATCATACAACACAAGATATTTGATATATGCCTGAATCTCGTTTACGACATTTTCAAGATAAGCTTGCATACAAGTACCGAACAACAACATTCAGACCGTCGGTCTACCGAGTAATATCACCAGCCTGATGAAAGATCTTCCCTTTCATCATTATTCCCAAAATAGTAAAATAATTTTATGACTGATCTAGTGGCATAGCTAAATTTGGTCAGCAGCAAGCACTGTTTCTTTAGTGCTACCAACCAGTTCACGGTCCACCTGATAAGTGCTTACCGGAGCTCATTGACAACATAAAGAAAACTGCTCTCAAAGTCGAGGTTTCAATTATATTGTATAATGCAGACCCACTCTTCTGACAGGGATATGTGACTGCTTTGCAACAGAAGTAGAAGTAACAGACAGAAATGCAACAGAAGTAACAGTACAGAGTAATAGGAAATAGTGGTATTATTTTCTTCGACTTTAAATTGCTTATTTTGTCTTTCAGCAATAAACAAAGCTGATACTAAGGACACTGAAATGGAAGTGATCATGGACAACATTGTTGAAAGCCTGTTCTCTGTGTTTGTGACAATGGGTAAGCTGTAGGTATAATATTGTTTACTATTATAGCTGTTTATGAGATAATGAACTGATGTCTCTGTTATATCTGATATATCTGTTACCTAAATGATTAAGAGACACACAGACATTACTACATAAATGCTATGACCCAATATCAAATATGAGTTTGAACTCAGCATTGTATTGTAGAATGGTTGTTTTTAGGAAATGAATTATACAATTTTTATCAATTTAATACATTTTTTTTATTCTAAGAAGACTGTGAAATTATGTAGACAGCTCTGCCAAACTGATTATTACTGGTGGATATTATTACTGGTGGTAGGACCACTTGTGAGTCCGCGCGGGTGGGTACCACCACTCTGCCTATTTCTGCCGTGAAGCAGAAATAGGCAGGGTGGGGCAGCCGTTGTAACTATACTTGAGACCTTAGAACTTGTATCTCAAGGTGGGTGGCGCATTTACGTTGTGGATGTCTATGGGCTCCAGTAACCACTTAACACCAGGTGGGCTGTGAGCACGTCCACCCATCTAAGCAATAAAAAAAACTGACAAATTTTAATTTACTTCAATTTTAGGCAATGTACCTTTTATACGAAGTACTAAAGGTAATGCTGCTGAGATGGTTGCTAAAAAGCTTGATAAAAAATTGAGAGAAAATCTTTGGGATGCCCGAAACAATCTCTTCCATGGCAATACTGGACAAGGTGGTGCATTCAGTTTTACGAGACCCATGTTGATTCTTCTGGATAGAAATATTGATATGGCAACACCTCTCCATCACACATGGACCTATCAAGCACTTGCACATGATGTATTGGATTTATCACTGAATAGGTACCCTTTTTTATTTTATTCTTTATCAAGAACAATCAATTAGGTTGTATTTGTTATAATTATAATACAGTTTCTTTCTTCCACTTAACTATAATTAAAGATAATAAATTGAGTGGAAACTAAATTTTCATTTTGTTATTCAGAGCAGTTGTCCCAGAAAACACAAATGCTACAGTACCGATTCAGAAATCAAACACGAGGATATGTGACCTTGATTCGAAAGATCCATTATGGTCAGAACACAAAGGTAGCCCGTTTCCAACTGTTGCTGAGGCTATACAAGAGGATTTAGATAAATACAGGTACAAATTATTGACTAATAGTTTAACTCTAATAACTTTCCACTTCACCTAATAAATTGACGGTAGCTGATATTTATCTTCAGTTGATGGATGGAAATATAGCATTGATGAAAAGAGCCAAAAAGCCAAAGCCTAAAAGTAGCTAAAAAACAGACTTCAGAAATCCAATGGAATAGCTTTTTTAGAAGCGTGACTTATCATATTTATTATATTAGTTTTGATAATTTGATATAACATTTAATTTTTAAGTCGTGTCGAGTACGTATAAAAAACCTATAATGTTGACTTATTTAGGGATTCGTTACTAAAAAGGAATAAACGGAACTCTTATATGATCATTTTGTTGTATGATTGTGTGACACTTAAGATCGACTTTTTTGTATTGAGCGTATGTGTATGTTTGTGACACTGGCACAATATGACGCGATTGCGTAGCCTTGTGTTCTGAGAGACGCGAGCATTAGTAGCAGTTGACCAATTTTCTTTTATCTTTTGAAATGTCTAATAACACGTCACTTATTTTAATATTTGTTAAGCTGAATCAGATTCTTAGGCTTTCAAATTAAACTACAAAGTCAAATTTACTGGTGGTAGAACGTCTTGTCAGTCCGCACGGGTAGGTACCACCATCCCGCCAATTTCTACCATGAAGCAGTAATGCGTTTCGGTTTGAAGGGCGGGCAGTTGTTGTACTGTTAAAAGTCAGACCCTTACAACTCATGTCTCAAGGTGGGTGGCGGCATTTACGTTGAAGATGTCTATGGTCTACGGTAACCACTTAACACCAGGTGGGCCGTGAGCTCATTCCCCTACTAAGCAATAAAAAAAATACATTTTATTAGATATATCATGTTATAAAATATGGGAATAAACTAATTAAATTAACCAATAATTCCAAAGGAGTTCTGAGGCCGAAGTAAAGAAACTGAAGAGCTCTATGGGTCTCGATGCAGAAAGCGACTTGGCTCTGAGCATGGTCAGTGACAATACCCAACGACTTACCAACGCGGTGAACTCATTACCTCAACTCATGGAAAAGAAACGGCTGATTGATATGCACACTACTATCGCCACAGGTAAACAAACAGCTTCGATATATCACAAAGAAATTCTGATTAATTTGGCACAAAATAAACATTTTCTTCTACTTTAATTGTTATTTCTTCAATATTCTTACAGCAATTCTTAATGCCATTAAGTCCAGAAGATTAGATTCATTTTTCGAATTAGAGGAAAAGATAATGAGTAAAAGCACCGCCGTGGAAACCAAAGCGGTTATGGATCTTATAACTGATCCCAGTGCGGGTACGCCCGAGGACAAAATGAGGCTGTTCATTATTTACTATCTGTGCACGTCACAATTCACTGACGATGAATATGAGAAGTTTGTAGGAGCTCTAGTGGCGGCCAACTGCGATGTCAAAGCCCTATCTTACATGAAACGGTGGAAGTAAGTCTTCAAAAAAAAATTTTCCCCTCTAAGCTGTTGGTCTGGAAAGACCATTTCAGCGTAGCCTTAACTATTAAGTGAAGTCACGGGGCTCAAACCTGACAATGTTGCTAACACTAATCCTAGCAAGAGCCGTGCTTCGCAGAATCCACCATCGGATCGGAAACGCGACCCACTTAGAAGATCCGGCGAGAAACTCAGTGGGCTGTCTGTGGGTTAATTTACTTGCAGAGCCCTTCGTCTTTCGAGCCCTTCGTGACCAGCGATGAATTTTTTGCTTATATAATCCAGGCTACTTAACTATGCACTAAACGTTTTTAGGCACAAATGTTTTATCCTAGATTTTCCGCTTCCAGCGTTATTTTAAAATCTGAAAATACTTCTACTGCAGCTTATGTCTTGCTCATAATACTTTAACACATTCATCCTCGTTGGATTAAGCTTGTAAAAAATTTTCAAGTGTATAAAAACATTCAAAATTCGGTTGTGTTCAGACTGTATTTGTAGAATATTTCCCATTATCCTAACTTTCTTATTATATGGAATATTTAATAAAATATACAAACATTTTTGGTTAAAACGTTGAAGCCTTAAGATTCTGGGACACTGACTGGTGTTAACTAGTATATATTTTCAAAAAAACACACTGGTGTAATTTTTCTACTGTAGATATACTTATAATACTTTTACAGGGGTTTCACAAAAATGTCAAATCAGTACGAAGGCGGCGGCACCAAAACGGTATCCATGTTCTCTAAACTCGTATCCCAAGGCTCATCCTTTGTAATGGAAGGCGTCAAAAATTTAGTTGTCAAAAAACACGTGAGTATTATACAGGGTGTAACAAAAATTCTTTGTAATAAATTAAGAAAAAATCTAAAATTAAGTAACCTCAAGTCAGAGCTTTTGAAAACAGCTGAAAACTGTTTAGTAAATACTCAGAATGGTGGACCTCGTGTTTGAAATTCTACACGCATAGATGGATGGCTTAGATGAGAACTTTAGAATAAACCGTCGCAGAGTATAACCTAATTCAGCGACGTGCTGATATTTTAGAATAAATAACTAAGTACATAGTACTAACTAGTACATAGTAAACATATTTCGTTGTCGTCGCCTAAAGGATAAGACGTCCGGTGCATTCGTATGTAGCGGTGCAGGGGTGTTCGAATACCGCCGGCAGGTACCAATTTTTTCGATGAAATACGTGCCTACTTAACACAATGCTCACGATTGACTTCCACGGTGAAGGAATAACATCGCGTAATAAAAATTACACCCACAAAATTATAATTTGCGTAATTAATGGCGGTAGGACGTACTGTGAGTCCGCACGGGTAGGTAACACCACCCAGCCTATTTCTGCCATGTAGAAGTAATGCGTTTCGGTTTGAAGGGCGGGGCAGCCGTTGTAACTATACTGAGACATAGAACTCATTATCTCAAGGTGGGTGGTGGCATTTACGTTGTAGATGTCACTGGGCTCCGGTAACCATTTAACATCAGGTGGGCCGTGAGCTCGTCCACTCATCTAAGCAATAAACTTTATTAGGGACCGTCGTTTTCATGACGGCGAGCAATAAGTGTTTTTTTATAAATGAATATGCAATTTCGAAAAGAGCACATCTCCGAAAATGTAAAATGATCAGGAAATTAAAAAAACCTCATTATTTTCTAAAGCAGTGTAAAATTTTAAATATTAACTTTCGAGATATATTTTAGTGTTAATTAGCAATTGAAAATTACTAGAATTATTATAAAATGGGTGTAGGTAAGCCTCAAAACTACATGTAGGTATATGAAAAAACGTATTTGACAAAATATACGACATGTGCCATTTTCGAATTATTATTTTTTTATTGCTTCGATGTGTGGACGAGCTTACAGCCCACCTGGTGTTAAGTGGTTACTGGAGCTCATAGACATCCACAACGTAATTTTTTTTTTTTTATTGCTTAGATGGGTGGACTTGCTCACAGCCCACCTTGAGATATAAGTTCTAAGGTCTCAAGTATAGTTACAACGGCTGCCCCACCCTTCAAACCGAAACACATTACTGCTTCACGGCATAAAAAGTCAGGGTGGTGGTACCCACCCGCGCGGACTCACAAGAGGTCCTACCACCAGTAATAAATGCATATTCAAATGTAACGAATGAATGTAGAAACTTCCCGTGAGCCGCGTAGTCGAGAGCGCTCTGAGTGGCAGCGAGAGCGCCGCCGAGCTCACGTGGCTGGACCCCCGCGCGGCGCGCACGGACTCGGCCGGTCGCGCGCGCTCCGCACGACAACAGCCGCCCACCGACGCTGTGGTCTTCCTCGTCGGCGGCGGGAATTACATCGAATACCACAACCTGATCGACTTCGCTAAGGTTTTGTTGCGCAAATACTGATATAATGTCAAATCAAATCAAATCAAAAAAAAATTATTCAACATAAATGAAAGTACATACTTGTTGAACGTCAAAAAGAACTACCGCCAATTCACAAAAACTAGCCTCCGTCCTGAGAAGAACTGGCAAGAAACTCAGTGGGCATGTCTTTTTTTTTTTAATATTAGATTTTTTTTTTAAATATTAAGTTTTACAATGAGTATTATAAGGTAACAATTATTGCAATATTGAAATGCCCGGAGCGAGCAACTCATTCCCACTTTGTGCAAACTTCTAGATAATCATTGACTTTACAGTAAGCTTTATTGCACAGACGTACTGTCACTGGTTATCTTCTTCTTCTATGTCATTCCCTCACTGCTGAGGATCGCGACCACATGTGATGTTTCTCCACAATGTTCGATCATGAGTGGCACGGAGCGCACGGTACTGACTACCACCATGTGCTTCCCTTACTAGATCTGACCATCAGGCTGGTGTTCTGTCCACAGCGCGCTTACCCTCTATGCGACCCGCAATTATCAAGTCTATTTATAGAATCAAACGCAGCAGAGTCGAAAAAAACAATAAATTATATGAAGTACCTGAAGCCATCGCCTTATAATAATTTGCTTTATAAAAAAAGAATCATATTAAAAAATCTGTGATAGAAACAAATGTACATACAAGTATAACCGTACCATTTGTGGATTGACGTTAAAAAAGCGCTCACGAACGTAGCTGTTCGCGTCTTTAAGCCTTCAACGTTACGTAATAGACGAGTTTTAACCATAGATACCACAGCGGCAATACCGCTACCAGTCTTTTTTTTTGCAATGGTGAAGGCGTGATTAACTTTTAAATACTTCTTTCCATATACGCTCCAAAACTATATTGTGATAACTCAACCTCTCAACACTCAATAGGAACCTTTCAATAAATGGAGCTTGATTTGTAGACTAATTTGATTTTAGTAACCTACCCAAAGACTTTCAATATACAAATGAAAAGAGACACTCTTTAATTTACAGTGAGACGTCATTCACTAAAATCTGTTGGTAAAATTGAATTTCCCATATCAAGAGAATGAAGGGCATGTTATGTTTCGCTAGATTCAACACAATCCTGTAACTAAGAAATGTGATAGACTGATACCCCCTTCGACAATGAGAATCCTCTCATCGTGACCGCCGAAAACTACATAGCCGATCCTGCGGACCAAATGGTAAACAGTCGACGTCGCCCAAAACACTTCATTTCGGATCCTCCCGATCCACTAACGGTGCTTTTAGGTGCCCCAAGCACTGGTTCTCGTCGAACCTGTCGCTTGCGACGAAGGGCTCGGCCAGTAAATTAACAGACACAGCCCACTGAGTTTTCGTGTTTCCGATCCGGTGGTAGATTCTGCGAAGCACGGGTCTTTCTAGGGTTCGTGTTAGCAATGTCGTCAGGTTTGAGCCCCGTGAGCTCACCTACTAGTTAAGGTTACGCTGATATGGTCTCTCTAGACCATCAGCTTAGGTAGGAAAAAAAACTTATAATATTTCCATAACTAATGAAGCAAGAAATTAGTCATTGGTAGTTAAGGATAAGTTTGTTAAGAATTTTAATATGAAATAATACTGTTCTCTTTTACAGCAACAAGCAGCAAATGGCATACCTAGAAAACTGATTTATGGTGCTACAACTTTGCCAAACGGGTCCCAATTTTTAAAACAGTTGTCGCTACTCGGAGAAGAGATTCAATGAACATTCCTGATGTAATTCCAATGTAAAATATATTAAGTGAAATAAATTATAATAATATGCACTATTTAATCGTAATCGGGTTGTTAGACAATGAAAAGTAATTCTCAACAAGTTGGCTTTTTATTTACAATGACATTGAAAATATAGCTAACATCTAATAGACTACTAATAAATTTTGATTGTTTTAAACAAGAAGTATAAAATCTAAATCACAAGATAGTTTCCTCATTACTATTCAGATCTTTAGACCATACATTTTGTAAAGAGAATAAACTANAATCGTAATCGGGTTGTTAGACAATGAAAAGTAATTCTCAACAAGTTGGCTTTTTATTTACAATGACATTGAAAATATAGCTAACATCTAATAGACTACTAATAAATTTTGATTGTTTTAAACAAGAAGTATAAAATCTAAATCACAAGATAGTTTCCTCATTACTATTCAGATCTTTAGACCATACATTTTGTAAAGAGAATAAACTACATGACAAAGTTCAAGAAAACAAAAAACAAAACATACAATATTGCAATAAAAATAAACTTGTTGATTTTATATCCCATCCCCTACACTATTGTGCTTAACAGTAAAAACTAAAAAAAGTACATATTTGAAACATACTCAATAGCCCTCGAAAAATAGCTTCTTATGAGTTAATCTCATTTTATTTATGTATATTAAGTATATTAATAAACAAATAGGTATGAATAAGGAACATCTTGGTAAGTAATTAGTAGGTACTTCTGAAACAACCGAATTAAAATTGAAAGAGAAATATTAGTTTTTTTATGTATTGAACAATATTCTAAAACGTGTAATATATTTTATATAATTATCACCGAGTACGATATGATTTTTGGCACAGCGAAACACAACTATACAACGTTCACCAAGATAGTTTTTAGAGAGCAAAATTATTTATCTCTAACAAGAAATAACGGACCAAAGCCTCCTTCGTATATTTAAATCTTCCGCTAATGTTTTGTGCTAACAATGAAAACAAACATCGGCAACAGCTGATAAACCTATTGAAAAACAATCTATTGCCACAATTGTTAAAAAAATATGTTTTTTGGTTGGTACATTATATCTGTTTGTTAGTAAGTATTGTGCGATAACTTTTATAACGATGGAACCAGACAAACTTGAGTTAAAATTAACATTGATGGCACTTTTAAATTCGTTTTTCAAATCATTACTGATCTTTAAGTTGCGTTGAACAAATACTATCAAAATATTTTTAAATATGTTTTCAACTCATAATAGAATAATCCCATAATTGATATTAGACAATGCATTAATCAGTGATATCTATAAAAGCTAAACATTGATCTTATAATTACAGTAACTACGACATGGAGAAGACAGAACCACTATAGTTACACAAGTTATTAAGGCAGGCGCGTCTTATTCAAAACTACTTAAAATATTAAGACTTAAGCAGTGCAATACTTATTAATAAAGCAATATATTTATTTTATTATGGCGATCAATATTATGTTTCACAAAGCATTTAATAAGACATAAATTAAATCCTACACATACCTTCACTCTCATGAGTGATATTTAGAGGAAAAGTAGTTATGATACAATGTTCAAAGCCAGAAATTTCATGATATTAGTAACTTTGAATTCCCTTTCATTAAGTACATAATGATGTTTGAAATACTTGCAGCATAACATCTGCATGAACTGGGGCTATTCATTTAAAACAAACAAAAAATGGACGGAACTGAAATTGATAATTATTTCAAGGATACAACAGTATGTCTATTTATCAGAAATTACAGCTTAAAGTATAGAACCTACGCTTACATTCTAGATGGAATGTTTAAAATCAATTCAAATTTTCAAAAAAGGGCAATTATAATTGTTAATGTTAACAAAAAATATGAGTAATGATCTGCATAAGTTTAATTTTTATGTAGGTTCAATACTTCAATAATGGAATGTTAGGAGAAGAATAAAGAGCTGATTTTTCAATCAACAGTTAAAAGTTATCCCAAGACATAAATATAAGTAGATTCTATATAAAATTAAATAAATCAGCATTTCAAATATTTTTGTTATATTTTATCCTATTTATAACTTTTATCTGACAATTAAAAATCGTATCTAAAGTAAGTCAGTTCATAGGAATAGAAAATTCCAAACGGAATGGAAAAAAATATAGAGAGACTATTAGAGATTCAGAATTATAGAAATACATCCAGGGGTCAGTTTCACTTGAGACAGTAAAGATCTAAATTTTCTCATTTTTTTAACAATACACAAATATATTTCATTATATGAATCAACACTAAACCTTTAATAGGCCAAACGTGTGTCTAGTATACTTTCTCTTCCCAACACTTTCAGTCTTGCATATAGAGCAGATCTCTTTCTTAGTTAAACAAGGAGGGCAAGCTATAATGTTTAAGAAGTAATGAGAGAATCCAGTAAAAGTAGCATCAGTAATGTGGTACCAACCACTATAAAACAACAAGGCTACGAAGTTATTACAACAAATGATATATGCAAGATTTCCAAGTCAATTACACCACCATGCAGATAAGGGTGGCACTATAATCATTAAAATTAATAGTAGAAAAGGCAAATACATACAATATTATTATCAGTACTATTATTGAAGTTGGTGGATTAATTACTATGGACTTATTTTAAAATTTAGCAAGAAACTTACACTAGGCTAAATATGTCATTAACAAAGTTTTGAACAACTACTTCAAGGATTAAATTTTAATGTAATAAGATAATATGCAAGTGCATTTTTTTCAACAATTATCCAAAGATTTCTACAAAGTGTTAATTATTTCAGATCATCTTAAAATTCAAGGTATATAAATTATTTAGGTACCTACATAATTTTGTCAAGAAATTTCTACAAGCAAAATCTCATATTTTTATTTTGGAGATTAAGTTAAGGTTTTTTATCAATTTTAACAGGCCTATTCTAAGAGTGATTGTTATCACTATAGCTAAGTAACAGCTATTATTTAGTAACTTTAAGAACTTTTTTGCCCTATCTAATTATTTTTAATTGAATAAGAATAATTTTTAAAGAACAAATACATATATTCTTATCAACAGTCAAATGGATATAATGTAAATTTAAATTATCACTTTGAATTGTCATGAAAAGTTTTGGAGTGACAAATTGTCATTCAGATTATTTTTGAGATTCCAAGTGCAACATTATTAAAGAACTATATATATACTTTAAACAGTAGTTCAAAGCTATAGTTGAAATATAATATATATGTATGTAACTATAACTGTGTAATAGCTAGTTTGTAAATGAGCTTCATAACATAAAATGTAAACATCTTCCCTTTTGTGTAAGCATATCTAACTGACTAGACATAATGTCTTGTACAAATCATTAATTTTCCTTCTGTAAGATACTGAATTAACTGCACACTTAAAAGTACCTAGTTATATGTTATCGAGTAGTAACACAGTTTGTAAAGTGGTGACAATAAATGTGCTTTGGCATTGAACTCAAATAATTTTAAACAAGTGCTGATTTGCAAAAGTAGATATCACACAAGGTATTTAAAGGTTGTTAGACAAATAGTATCCCAATTGAGGCGTAGCAAACTTACTATTAAGTACATATCATAAGCAGCGTTGTAACATGGCAATTTATAGGTGGGCATCGAACCCAAAACAACTATTGTTTTGGCTGAGATTGACTGGCAGAACGACTTGAACCACTGCTGTTCAAAATCATCTTCTGCATCTGTCTAATGACTGTTGTAGCATGGTAGGCTTGTTTCCAGCGGGACTTTGCAAAGTTCTTCTTCAGTTGTTCCGAAACTGTACCGTGAATGTTCTTATTGCTAGCAGCATTACCAGAAATCCAAGGATGAGCCAAGGCTTGCCTGTACAAAATGGACATTTATGTGTTAATACAGTATTTAGTTAGAGTATAACAAATAGTCAAGTATTCCACTGAATTGAAATGTTGTCTAACTGGAATGCCAATATGGATTTATGCAATATTACAAGTAATATATTTTAAAACATGTTTTTGTTTAATTTTATTTACACAAATCAAAATAGTTTAGGTATGACATTATGTTATACAAGAAAACAAATACCAGTCTACATTATCATATTTGTTAATTGTTTTAACATCAAAAAAATTATCTTATACATTAAGGGCATTTCTAATTAGACCAAAAACAGATTTTAAGTGATGCAATAGTTTGTAACTTTTTAAACTACTATTCCATTATTTTTATATGTTCAACACTTACTTGCAAGTGTATCTCTTTTCTACATCAACACACATAAGATGTCGGATAAAATCTTTAGCTGAATCGCTTATATCATCCCAATAAGGAGAATCAAATTCAAAATCGCCTTTTAGAATCTGGGCAAATAAGTTTGCATCATTCTCGTCATAAAATGGAGGATATCCACACAGCAAAATGTATGATATGACTCCTATACTCCAGACATCAACAGCCTTACCATATGGCTTCTGTGCCAATACTTCAGGTGCTACATAGCCTGGTGTACCACATGCTGTGGCCATTATGCCAGAATCCTCAATCTTAGATAACCCAAAATCACTAATCATTATCTTACTGTCTTCCTCAGTGCTGTAGTAGAGAAGATTTTCAGGCTTCAAATCTCTGTGCACAACTCCCTGAGAATGCATATAATCAACAGCTTCCAACACCTGTCTAATCAAATTGGACGCATCTTTTTCAGTATAGGAACCCTTTTCAACAATTCTATCAAATAATTCACCACCTGTTACTAGCTCCATGACAAGGTAAACTTTATTTTTGTCCTCGTATGTTTCGAGTAGCTGTACTATATTCGGATGAGAAAAAACTTTCTTTTCCCCACCTTCACCCTTACCTTGTTCACTAAATCGCTTTAATACCCTAATTTCATTTTCAAGGGAATCTTCTTTACCTTTAAGGGCTTTTTTATCAATGATTTTGCAAGCAAACAGCTGGCCGCTTTCTTTGCTCTCTATCAAACGCACCTCAGAAAAGGCCCCCGTACCCAAAAGGTCCTTTACAATGTATTTGTCTTCAATAGACGGTTGNCCACCTTCACCCTTACCTTGTTCACTAAATCGCTTTAATACCCTAATTTCATTTTCAAGGGAATCTTCTTTACCTTTAAGGGCTTTTTTATCAATGATTTTGCAAGCAAACAGCTGGCCGCTTTCTTTGCTCTCTATCAAACGCACCTCAGAAAAGGCCCCCGTACCCAAAAGGTCCTTTACAATGTATTTGTCTTCAATAGACGGTTGCTTTTCAGAGTCTTTTCCATCTTTTTTAGATTTCCTTCCGAAATCTTTTTTACCGAAAAGAGGCATTTTTGCGCCCCACGTTCACTAATTTCGACCTACACTACTGTTATCTAAAAATCCTACGTACACACAGTGAAGTATATTAAGCAGAGGCTATGTATGTACCACTATGTAGCTCACAGAAAATAATATTAATCTCACTTCAACTCCGTGTTGCGCTGCGCAGCGGCCAAGGTTAGAGAATAATTTGTCAAATTCAGTACGTTTCATTTTACCCTATCGTTAATAATTAATTAAATTATGTAGATTTACGAAAAAGTTCATTGAATATTTGGCTAACATTGTACTAGTTAGATTGTATTTGTGTGTGAAATTATTTCAAAAAGGAAAAATTTAAAGGTGAGAATCCACTTGACTACGTATTAAAAAAAATGTATATCGTTAAACGAAACGTTTCAAGAAAGAAGCAAATTGGAGGTATACTCAATATTGGAAAATGAGAGGTATTTAAAATTGTACAAGGCCGTTATAATATTGTGTATACCTCCTATAAATAATAAATAAATGGATACCAACTGTTCCTGTAGTATAAATTTAATTTTACAAATCAGTATAAGTACATCATCAATATACATAATCAGTTTATTAATACTTTGTTTAGATAACATAGGACAAATTACCGCAACATTAGCTCTAGCGAGAGGTCCAGACTAGAAACTGTGTTGGCTAAATCATACGATATGAGTAAATCAGACGTTTTATCCTATAGGCCAGGAAGTTTTTTTTTAGTATAGACGGGTGACCAAGATTACGGCCCACCTGATGTTCAGCTTCTAGACATTACCGTGTGAATTCCGTCCACTTCGATAAAGCGGCACGACACGAGAACCCACTCATCGTGGCCGCCGGTAACTACATTCCCGATCCTGCGGAAAGAAAGGAAAGCAGTCGACGTCGCCCAAACCATGTAATTTCCCTCCCGATCCACTAACAGTGCTTTTAGGTAATTCAAGCACCGGTCACCGTTCTCGTCGAACCCGTCGCTTGCGACGAAGGGCTCGACGAGTAAATTAACCCTCAGACACAGCCCACTGAGTTTCTCGCCGGATCTTTTCAGTGGGTCGCGTTTCCGATCCGGTGGTAGATTCTGCAAAGCACGGCTCTTGCTAGGGTTCGTGTTAGCAACGTCGTCAGGTTTGAGCCCCGTGAGCTCACCTACTAGTTAAGGTTACGCTGGAATGGCCTCTCAAGGCTACCAGCCAGGTTACCAGCTTACCAGCTTAGGTAGAAAAAAAAAAAAGTGAATTCAGCTGTCTATCTTGAGGTAAGAGGTGAAGTCTCAATTGTACTTTGTAATGATTACTCATTCTTTAACGAACTCATTACTCGCAACAGACATAAAGAGGATGGTAATACACACGGTGCAGGTATGGACCACATATATACATACATGTAATAAAATTGAAGGCTCGCTTTTTATAGGGAAAACCTTTGTTTCGTAATTAGTCACGTATGTTATTGACACGTTCGCCATATTTTTAAAAATGTATCGTACTATCGAATCAGTAGTTCACATAACAGTTTCACTTGGAATTACTTATAACCTGTACACCTGTCCGTTTTCGGCAGTGTTTCGTTAATCCTAGAATAAATCGCATACCGACTAACAACACAAAAACTACGCAGCATGTCGTTGAAACCTATATCCTATTAATTATTATAATTATAGGTAACTGCTAATTTAAGTTGTAAAACTTATAAGTCTTCAGATTTACACCGTACAATTGAAAAATTTAGAGTGCCAATATATATATTTTTAACTGGAACTGTTCGTTTAAATAAAGATAAAAAACCTTTAGTTATTTAAGTCCCGTCCAAATATAGGTACTCCACATACCTACGTACACTTGGATTTGAATACCCCAATCACTCGTATGATTATTTGGTTTTCATAATTTCGCAAAATCAGCAGCACATACCTACCTACCATTCAATTTCAAAATCATTTATTTGAATCTATGTGGATGTCACTGGACATATTTATCTTAAATTGAAGATACAAGAAGAGCCACAGTAGTAAAAACATAAACTCAGCAAAACATAAACTCTGGTGGTAGGACCTCTTGTGAGTCCGCGCGGGTAGGTACCACCGCCATACCTATTTCTGCCGTGAAGTAGTAATGTGTTTCGGTCTGAAGGGTAGGGCAGCCGTTGTAACTATACTGAGATCTTAGAACTTATATCTCAAGGTGGGTGGCGCATTTACGTTATAGATGTCTATGGGCTCCAGTAACCACTTAACACCAGGTGGGCTGTGAGCTCGTCCACCCATCTAAGCAATAAAAAAAAAACTGCGGATCAAACTTTCCGAATACGCTTAGCGACAGTAACTATAGCATCTGAGTAGCCTGGCTGAGACAAACGGACAGTCATGAGTAACGAAACTGCCGAAGTCCAACTTTTTTGGACGCACATAACCCAAATAAGTTTTTTAAAGTTCCAAACTAGACGAAATATTTCAGACTTTATTGGACGCCTGATATTAAGATAATGAAGTTGCCCTTGTACTCAGAAGGAAAAGAAAGACGCAGAATTTCAATACGTGCTATGCTAATTGTAGAGTAAGCCGCCACTAAAGAAACTCCTACCCTTGTTTTTCCTTGTCTATGCTTGCACCCTCTGACGTCACAATGAAAATCGACCAATCCCATCAGACGCAGTATTCGATGGCCCTTATATGCGGCTCTATTTGTGCGCACAGTTTTCTGCCTTATCCGCTAATGTTTTTGTTGAGCGACAATATGTGCGATATAAAAATTATTCCATATGTGATCAAAATTGTTTAGAATGCATAGTGTCGTCGTGGTGTCGCTGTGAATATTATTTTCGTTTATTTACATTCAATTTCTATATTAGGTTTCTAAAATATCTACGTTAGGGGTGGTTCCGTGATGCCAGTTCGTAAGCAAGGTGAGTTAAATTATGGGAAGTGATATTTTTTAATGTAATGTTGCAGCATTCGTTCATGCAGCAAAGTTTACGCAACGTTTGGAGGGTTACATGCACCCATAAACGCACCCTTTTGTTGATTGATATCGATATTAGAGGGTTGCCAGGCACTCTACTTGCGTGTTCTACTTTTCGTAAGCAATCATGTACCCTAGTTTTACATTTTTATGTGTTCTCAATAAGCATTTAAGTCAAAACTAAACTACCTATCTAACACATGCTTAGACTCATATGGTTGGTACCGCAAATACTATTGTTTATGTTTTCTAATTTCTAATTTATTGATAATCGACGGTTGCGTTGTATTCTGTTTGTGTATATAACAGCAAAATTTATTAAGGTAACTAAAAAATGGATATGTTAAATTAAGCCTGAGAAACACGTATTTTAATGGAAACAAGAGTCTTCACCACCACTACTAATCAGTGGGCGTAGGTTACAAGCTGCCAGCCAAGACCTTGATAAAAATCGCCGATTTAAAATAATTACATTATTTCTTATAATAAATCAATTTTCAGAGGCGCATCGAGCTCTAGAATTACTTGAAGATTATCATAGCAAGCTAATAAAGCCACAAGACCGGCAGTTGAGGCTTGCTATCGAAAGAGTCATCAGAATTTTTAAATCAAGATTATTTCAAGCATTACTCGGTAAGTTAATTGAAAACGTACTTTTGCCTTTTGCCATTTGCCTTTTTATTTGGGGAACTTTAATTAAAAATACAGGTATACATCGAAAATATTTTTAGGGAGTCGCTAAGTAAATTTAATGTATCAATGAGCCTATAGGTAATCTATAAATAGATGATAGAATAGAACAGACGCGCGTGACCGTAGCTCACGTCACCGGCGATCTTGAGTCTTCTTTGACCACGACACTGCTATTGTAATCCGTATTATATTTTTAGACGACTGCGAATGCAACGAGCATTTGTCGACTTGAACTGAATTGAACGATTCTGAAATTTGAAAAGCCGAACTTCATTTAGGGTAACGGTTTTTAGGACTTTGACCCGAGGTCTCTAGAGGTGGGGGGCGACAATCCCGGTGAGATAGATATCCATGGATGCCGAAAACTAAACTTATCTATATAATTAAATCTACTTTACGGTTTAACCTTACGTTTTTTATTATCACTAATATTAATCGGACCACCGTGACCGTGTCCGTCAGATGAAACCCTAAAAGTAGTTTTTATTCGTCTACGACTCGCGAAAGTCCAACACACTATATATGTACTACGCCGAAAATAAGCACGTATGAGGGTTCATAAAACTTTAAACTAAGCCATGTTCCAATATTTTTTTTGTTTCTAAAATGCTTTAAGAAAAGTACTGCGTTTATTGATCGATCACTATTAATTTAACCTTGTCCTGATGTTGATATAAACCAGATTGCATCTTATTTATTATGCGTTTAAATGCGTCACCTCCAACATTATTTACGTCATAATCTATGGCTTCACACAGTTAAAACGTATACAGTGAAGTAAATCTTTAGTGCTTAAAAACAGTACCGTGATTAATTGTTTTACATATATGAAATTATATGATATGAAACGCATTTAAAGAAACAAATACCTAAAGGGGTAAAGGTGTGATAAAGCATACCTAAATGTTTGAAATGACTAATTTAGTTTTACCATTTCCTAACTAAGCTGCAAAAAATAGAACATTTATAGTTTTTTGACTGTATGTGATTTTTTTACTTATACAGCTATAGAAATTTAGCGAATAAATATCTAAGTGATGATTGTATTACTACGTAATGGTGTATCTAATTTATAAAAAAAAAAACTAGGAATAAACTCCGTACGTGTAAATGAGCGAATTCTTTTCATCAGTCATCTCTGATAAGTTGTAAAAATAACAAATACAAAGGTTTCTAAATGAATATTTTAGGTGAAAACTATTACGTAAAGTCGTGAAATTGATTTGAACAACATTACATATATTTATATTATAGTTTTTTAAATATGGTACATTTTAGCTACTACTACTGGTCACATGTAAAGATATGTATAAATTAGTTGACACGATAATCGTTGTCCTGTCCTAATTTCAATAAATATTCTAAATCGTTTTATTAATTTGTAAATTCTACTATTGTTCGGGCTATTTTCCTTAACTATCTCATACCGATTACGGGCCTGATGTTACGGGCATTACAAATATCAAATAGTTCCATTTTATGAATACTATAACTTTAATAATATAGTAACTACAATACGTATACAAAATCGTAGTATATCTCACACCACTGTATAGTGGTCTAGTATTCCAACGACGTTAAATACGACTGAAGGATCCATCAGAATATGGGCAGACGCATTCCCTGAGTACCTATTCGTGCTACGAACGCTATCTTCATTGCTGAAGGTCGTGTCCCTGAAACCTGACCGCAGCCTGTCTCGTGAGCTGTTTCCATCTCGTCCGGTCCTCAGCTTCTCAAATGGCGGTTGCGACTGGCAACCCAGTTAGAGCGGTTATTTGATCACACCAACGGCTAGGTAATCGGCCGCGGGGTCTCTTTCCTTCTACTTTGCCCGTCACAATCACTTTGTCCAAGTTATCTCTTAGTTTATGCCCAATCATGGTAGGTCGTAATGTCCTGACAAAGAGGTTACACGCCACAACATTATCACTGATGGTAAGATGTATCGCGAGCCTGCGTCTATAGGTACAACCTGTGTATTGTTTGTTGAACATTATGAAACAATCTTAAGTTCCTGTCCGTATCGTAACACAGTCGATCTAAAAAAATATTGAGATTACGACTACGTATCCCAAAGTGGATGGATCTTATTACGTTTGACACAAATATATAGCTCAGGCACTCCTTGGCAACTAACACCCCACAAAACCATCTCTGAAGCCAGATAACACCCTCACTGTTCCCTACGGACTAATTGAGAAGCTTCTATAGAGATGTGTGCATAAGCTTAGTCATCTGCGTATTAAAATGTTGTTAAATTTTAGTTTTAAAAAATATTTTCAGTAATTTTTTGTGCCCGTCTTTGGATACTGCCTAAAAAGTTTTCTTAATTTTATCATCCTATTAAAATTTAAGAGTGCGTTTGGTTGAAATGTCGCCGCACGCACAAGATATTGTGTAACTAACACGTCTCCAAGACTAAGCTTTCGCAATAGCTATAATAAAATAGAAGATATTTGACAAAAAAAAACTGTGTTCAAGATCTTCATAGCGTGAAACGAAACGCATATCCTAATAAAAATATATATCACTTCCACAAAACCGACTTATTAATCGTCCCGAGCGTGGACAACCTCAATTGTGTTAACATACTATTTAGAAATATACAACTATACAAGCTCGTCCTATGTCGCTCGAACGACATTCGAACCTCGCCGCCTCGGCCCCCTCCCAAAGACATCCGATTTGTGGAAGGTCTTATCTTTGAAGCTTATCGACAAAAAGGAATAACTGGTGTTCATGCGATAAGACACCACTTTCCCGATTATGCGGCATAACTATAAGTTTTTTGGCCTAAATGGAGGAAAAATATATTACGATTATGAAGAATTCTATCTCTCGTCCCAAAGTTATTAGCAGTATTCATATGACGATATCTATTGACACCGATAAGCATTTAAATACGTGTGGGCCGTGAGCTCCTACTCCGACTCGTAGGTATCTGCAACAAGAAATATAAAAAGAAAATAGGATTTAAAAACCATAGATCCGATTCTCAAACCTTAAATATATGTGTACTAAAGTAAAAGGGAAACGTAAAATCTCTATTTAAAAAAAAAACAACATCTCATAAAAGAAAAATAACTTTCATGACAACAAATAAAGTTGACGGAGTACCGTACAAATGCGATCTTCTGAGTCCCTAAGATCGAACTACAAAAGAATAAATATCGCAATACATAAGAATATATAACGCTATCATAATATATACTCAACCGTTGCCTCGTAAATTTTTATTAATTTTCACTATTGCTGTAGAGTATTAAGCCCTATACTAGTAACTAACAATGCGTACCTATACAATACCATTTCTATCTATTTTTCTCAACCGAATTAATTTTACTTTTAGTAGCTATTGACGAGCTGAAGAGTTATCCATATAACATTCTGTGAAAATCGACAAGTTTCTTCTTTACAATGTCAATACCAAATAATTCATAAAATTAAACTAAATCCTTCGATCAATACTATTTGTTGATCGAAGACTAAATCTTAACGTATCAGTGATTATGAGATAATACAAATATAAATAACTGTGAACAAATTATGCACGGTCATCCGGTCCCAAAGTAGGATTCCCTGTATTATGGGTACCAGTAACTGACATGAATATGATGAAAGGCGATTGCATGTAGCAGAGATGCGAATGTTGCGATGGATGTGTGGAGTAACGAGAATGGATAGAATACGGAATGAATATGTTAGAGGAAGTCTGAATGTGATACCTGTGACAGAGAAGTTGAGAAGTGCGCGTTTGGGATGGTATAGATTTGTGATGAGACGAAATGAAAATGATGTTGGCAAGAGAGTGTTAACTATGAATGTGGAAGGATATAGAGGAAGAGGTAGACCTAAGAAGAAATTGATGAATTGCGTAAAAGACGATATGTGTAAGAGGGGAGTGAGTGATGAAATGGTATAGGATAGAGGAGTATGGAAGGAGAAAACACGTTACGCTGACCCCAGGTGTCTGGGAGAAGGGCAGGAGATTGATGATAACTGACATACATACTTATATACTTTTTAAAAATACTGGTGGTAGGACATCTTGTGAGTCCGCGCGGGTAGGTACCTCCACCCCGCCTATTACTGCCGTGAAGCAGTAATGCGTTTCGGTTTGAAGGGTGGGGCAACCATTGTAACTATGTTTGATACCTTAGAACTTATCTCAAGGTGGGTGGCGCATTTACATCATAGATGTCTATGGGCTCCAGTAACCACTTAACACCCGGGGGGCTGTGAGCTTGTCCACCCAACCAAGCAAAAAAAAAAATTATACTTATCTATATAGATAATAAACACCCAGACGAAGAGCAAACACCTGTTCATCACACGAATGTTTGCGTGATGTAGGAATTGAACCCATGAACCTCGACGCAACACTCGGGAGCACTAACCACTGCACTACCGAGTCAGTCGATCAGTAATTGTGGTCGAATTTAGACGATTGGGCCGGCATAATGTTAGAATTACTAGAAACGATCAAATTATTAAATGTAACTTTTTAATAAGCTTTTTTAATGAATATCGTATACGTAACTTCGTCGAGTCGAGTTAGTTAGTTAGTTAACTAAAATCAGTGTCAATATAACAACAGTGGTTAATACGTTTACTAATTTATCTTTTAACACAACATCCTATTACAAATTACGTACGTTGAGACAAACAAAACATTGCGTCATTGTTGAGAAAATAATTAATTAATTATTATCAATATTGTGACGTTCTTATCAGTTTAAAGGACTTTGATTAAAAATTGAAGATACTAAAACTGAGAGATTCAGCAAAGTTCGTAACGATTTGGTTGGTTACCCTCGGTTACTCTGCTTTAAAAAGGTCCTTAATATATGAGACACATTACTTTGGTTTTATGCTGTTTCCCTTGCACTACAGAAAAAGAAAACGTTTTGAATAAGAAAAAACACTTGACATTGGTT